ACAGCAACCCAGCCCCCGGCTCAAAAAGGTTGCCTACCCCTGCTCTTAGGTCACAACTGAATCTAGTCCTTAGTACTTCAGGCTTACAAAGCATAGTTCATTTCTATGCGCTGGACTTAAAGTTTTCTTGCCTTTAAATAACATTTGATCACAGACTGAAGAGAACAACATAAGAAGCTTGCAGTTGTAAGAAACCCCCCCTGTTGGTTGCATCTTACTCCTGAAATGTACATTTTCCCTAGAGGAAAATTTCTGTGTCTCTGCCAGTAAACTTTCTGCCTCTCTACCAAGAAACAGATGGAGGCAAGTAAACACTGTAAAGTGAAAGAGGAGCAACTGAGTCAATATTGCATTTGTCCAGGTACTCCTATGCCACCCTGCAATGCCCATTGGTCCTACCACATAAGTTACCATTCAGCAGTAGTGTCCTCCTGTGAACTGTTGATGGCAAAAAAAAAAAAAAAAAAGCTTTGCTACATCATCCTCAGATACCACCAGCTACCTGCAGGCTCCCTTCAATTTGTATTGCAGATGCACAGGATCACACCTTTGCATCCAGTTTACTTCTTTTATATTCACAATAAGGATCCTCACTTCACCCAAACAAACAATGGATAAACGAGGAGAAATAACCCACCCTTACCTTCAATTTTAATTATTTTATATTGAAGGGAAATACCATTCACATTATTCTATCAAAACTTTTTGAATCTGCAAAAGTTCCAGATGGCTAAAGTATGTAACTCATTTGTAGTATACAATCTAAGGTTAAGGCTAGAACTATAAACACCCCTCAACACTTGACAAACACATCCTGTCATAATCTATAAATCCCTCACCATCTTCTCATCCCCTGCACACCTGTGGAATTTGACAGAATGCACACTTTTAAATACTGCCATCATCCTATAGCTCTTGTCAATGCTCTTATATCCCTCTGTATATTATATACACAGCACAGCACCCCTACCCTATCTCTCTGCTCTCTTCAACATACATTTTACAGCTGATCTCTCTACCTCAAGCTCTCTTTTTCTACCACCAAACATAAAAATGTTGCTATCAGTTATGAGGGGAAGGCAGGGTATAAATAAATTTTAATAATGATAATATCATAGCTGAGTGTTGTGAAGAACATTTCCCTTAAACAAAGGCACTTTAGTTTGGGCATGAATGACCACCAGTCAGATCTAGAGTCTTGAAAGTGCTATGAACCATACACAGATCTCAAAATCTTGGTGTGGTTTTTGCCTTGCCTCTAATTGTCAGGTTGGGAAGGAATCCAGCAACACAGTCATAGATGCATCAGGCAGGAAGGATGTTTTATTTCCACACCATTGCTAAACTCTCAGATCCTCTTGAATATTACACAGGGGTGCTACAAATACTCTACTGGCTGTATGCCTAATGATGTGTTTACCACAAGTTGACTTCCTCTGGTCCATGGACTTTACATGTTACTCTATTATTCCCAAACCTGTATACTCCCCTTCAGAGAGCTGAACAGGAGATCTTCTACCTTGCATCCTAAATCCTTACCCTATACTACAGATCTCTCTCCTCACATTCCCACATCTCCTCCTGTTAAGAAGTCAGGGCCACTTCTCTAGTCCATACTGAAAACAACATACACACATAGCTAATAGCTAACAGAAGCTTCAGTTCTTTTTCTGCCAGCCACAGCTCTTCAACATGCTATATACCCCTCCCCATGATTCCCCTCATCCCCACTCACCCATTTTTCCATTGTAGAAGGCCCTCCAGTTTGACCTAGTTTGTCCCCTCAAAAAAAAAAAATCCTCCCATCAGTGTACATTACAGAAACCACTGTTTTCTGTTCTTTACCAAGGGAAATGCAACAGGTGCTGCTTGCTACTGCAGAAAAGCTTCTGAGATGCAGCTTTCAGAGATCCCAAGTCTCTGTGAGAATATTAATAAGATGGAGAGCAGCAAGTGAAGTAACATATCACCCTCATCACTGCCCTCTTTTTCCTCCCCAATATATACCACTTTTGTTTCTAGAGAGGGCAGTTA